AACCGGGGTTAGTGGTGGAATATGAGTAATAATCAGCAGTTAACCCGGGTTAGAGCCGGGATAGGAGTAATATTCAGGATTACCTGGATTTACCTGGATTCTATGTGATCTTATTACAGGTCGGGTCAGACAGAGTCACAAACCTGCAGAATTCAGAGAAACGTTAAATCTCTGTCCAGTGCACATAACGATCTCTGTAGATTTATTGTCAATAATATAATAGTAATAATAATATTGTTAATATTATTGTAATATATTATAAAGTCTTTGTAACAATCCAGAAGTGTCCCTCTGTGATAAACAAGATAAAATGTTAATATTTTATGGCTAATTTTGACATCTAGTTTGGACAAGGTCCCGTTAGTTTAGACTAGGTCCCGTTAGTTTGGACCAGGTCCCGTTAGTTTAGACCAGGTCCCGTTAGTTTGGACCAGGTCCAGTTCTACAGACGATCAGTATCAGCGTTTCATGCTGAGCTTGGTGTGGTAGTAGCTGAGAGTCCAACATCACGAGACGTGAAGTCTTCAGCTCCATCATTTCTCCTTGAAATGATGCCATGAGATGCGGCGGGTGATATGCATTCCTGCAGCTGTGTAAGTTCTTCCAGAAGCTTCTGCAGGTCCGGCGGGCTCAGAGGACTGGACTTCAGACTCTTATCAGCTCGTCCAGGCCCGTTTGGTTACTGAGTAGGACACTTTGTCCTCTGTCCAGCCACAGCTGAAGAGACGAGCTAAAGTTAAAACTTTAAATTTCGTGCCTCAGCAGAACCGGAACATGAGGCGGACCTTCGTTTCCTGAACCACCAACTACACAAACGTTACAACTTGTGTTGCATTTTCTGTAAAATAAGACAAAATAGATGTTGTTTATTAGTTGTTGTTGTTTTTCTGCGTACGGTTGAAAGACAGAAGCTCAGATAAATCAGAGAAACTCCCACCCCCACCTAAGTCTTTTTCATTTCAACTGTTTAAAATAAAACGGCTTTCCAGTTTGGATTTGAAGTAATAATTTAAAGCTTTTGTTGTGGATGTTGTTCCGTTGTAGGAAGTGAAGCAGCAGAAACTGAGTCGCACCAACAGGAACTCCCCCAGCAGCTGGATCGGTCTCTCCAGATGTTCCATCACGATCTTTGTAGCTCGTGTTATGCTGGGTTTAACTGAAATAAGTCCGTTTGGGCTCTCAGAACATTTCAGCAGTTGTTCTTCTTGCTGTATTTTCACAGAAATGTAGTTTTTAAATGTTTTATTGTTTAAAGATAAACTTGAACGTAAAATCCATTCTGAGGTTAAAAACACCGAAGTTCAGCTGACAGTCAGCCGACAGCAGGAAACTCAGTCATTTAATGAATTTAAATATCTTCAGGTTGAGCTTGATGATGATGAAACCTGACACAGTGCTTGTATTGAATCGGGTCCATTTGCCTGGTTCTGTTCTTGGTACCAGGTTTTGCAGCATCAGATCTACATTCAGACGGATATTTAATGATTTTTTTTTTTTAATTTATTTTTAAACAATTGGAAGGTTTTGTAATGAAAATCATCCTGGGACATCGTGTTCTGACAGCTCCAGGCCCGTCGGATCCATCAGAACCAGATGTTTGGAGATGAGCCTCTTTCCACTGGTCTTCCTCTGTCTCTGCAGGATCGGTACGGCGGGCATCGCGGTGCAGGTGGTGGGCAGTAACTGGCCCAAACCTCACTACACGCTGCTGATCACCGGACTGTGTCGCTTCAGGGTGTCGGTGCTGCTGAAGGAGCGGCCGTTCGTCCTGGCAGAGGTACCACTTCCTGTTCATCCTCCCAAAGGACACGGTTCCCTCAAACACGCCGAAAGAGGAAATACTACTAATAATAATAATTAATAATTAATACTTACTACTACTACTAATAATTTATAATTAATAACTACTAATAATAATAATAATAATTTATAATTAACTACTTCTACTACTACTAATACTACAACTACTAATACTATTAACAATATTACTACTACTACTACTAATAATAATAATAATAATAATTAATACTACTACTAATACTACTAATAATAATAATAATTAATACTTACTACTACTACTAATAATTTATAATTAATAACTACTACTACTAATAATAATAATTTATAATTAACTACTTCTACTACTACTACTACTACTACTACTACTACTAATAATAATAATAATAATTAATACTACTACTAATACTACTAATAATAATAATTAATACTACTACTACTAATAATAATAATTAATACTACTACTACTAATAATAATAATTAATACTACTACTACTACTACTACTACTACTAATAATAATAATAATAATTACTACTACTAATACTAATAATAATAATAACTAATCATAATGAATAATAATAATAATACATAATAATAACTGTACTACTAATAATAATTAATACTAGTACTACTAATTATTATTATTAATAATAAGAGTAATAATAATTAATAATAATAGTACTACTAATAATAATAATAATTAATAATAATAATAGTAGTACTACTAATAATGAATAATGATAGTACTACTAATTATTATTATTAATAATAAGAGTAATAATTAATAATAATAATAGTACTACTACTAATAATAATTAATAATAATAATAGTAGTACTACTAATAATGAATAATAATAGTACTACTAATTATTATTATTATTAATAAGAGTAATAATTAATAATAATAATAGTACTACTACTAATAATAATAATAGGAAAGAGCATGACCCGCTTCAACCCGACCTGATTTGCTCCGACCCGCTTCGATCCAACCTGCTTCAACACAACCCGTCTCGACCCCCTAGCCCGACCGCCTCAACTCAGTTTGACCCGACCCGCTTCGACCCGGCCCACTTTGACCTGGCCCACTTTGACCTGGCCCACTTTGACCTGGCCCGCTTTGACCTGGCCCGCTTTGACCCGCCTCGACTCGCCCTGAGCCGGTCTCACTACTTTCCATAAACCAGAGAGTTGGCCTCCTTCTCTCCACCGGTCGGACCGTGAGTCCAGCCCGTCTGGTCCAGAACCGCCTGAATGTTGTGTTCCACACAGAACCATCCTCCTCCTCAGAGGACCACGGTGCTGGTTTTTTGAGTTTGTTTATCTTTAAAAGTAAACAAAAACAAAAGCGGTGGTTGTGAAGTTTTAAAAATGGCGGCTCTGATTCTTGTGAAGGAGACTCTGATGATTGGCAGCTCTCTCCGTCCAGTCGGTGTTCTCCCGTCTGCTGACATCAAACCTTCGGCTCGGCTCACTTGGAACCTCGGCCGAGTGTGTCCTAAGAACCGAACTGGGAGTAGAAAGACTGAACCAGAACCGGGTCGACCCGAGTTAAGCCCGTGGAAGAGACTGTTGAGAGCTGCTGTTCATGTCACTAACGAAGGGAGTTCATTGAAGCTGGGTCGGTTCTGGTCCAGTCTCTGTAACAGAAGCTCAGAGCGTTTTTCAGAAGTCGGTCTTACTGAACCCGAGTCCTTTTGTGACCGCAGCGTTGACGTTGTCAGAACCGACGCCTCGGCTGCCAGCGGACTGTAAATGATTCTGCAGCAGAACTTTTCCTTCGACACCAAGCTGCCCGTTTAACGTTCTGACACGAGGGGTGGGCTGCGGGCCGAGGTGCGTGTTTGTCAGGTGCTGGTGCCGCAGCTCGCTCCGATCAGCTGGACCACATTTAATGTTGGGTCGACCTGCCTGAAAACGTGATCTACGCAGCGTGACCACGCGGCTAACCAGAACCGCTCGCTCCACAAGTGTAAAGGTCTCCGGAGTGCAGCTCCGAGCGAGAGCTCCTGCAGCTTCAACAACGATTAAAGTAACTTTTCTTCAAAGGAAATCAAACCCAGGAACTCGTTTCCCTGAACCCTGCGGAGATGTTCCCTCTGAGTCCAACAGACGGAGATAGTTTTTCACAGTTCAAAGCTTTAAATGCTCCTGGGTGAGAAGAGGAGCGGCTTCAACAACAACGAGAGCTGTTGGGTTTTTAAACTCGGGGCTTTCCTCGTCCTGGATGAATCTTCACAAACAGCTCCTGTTCTCAGTCCCCTTAACTACTGGTGTCATCGTTTACAAGCTCCGTCATTGAGTCTCCTGACGTTCTTTTTTTTCTTTGCTCACATTAATGAGTCCAAGTGATTAAACAGCTGCGGGGGCGGGACTTAGTGACGGACTCGGTCCGATTTCCCTCCACCTCCGAGTTTGATCGACTCTTTTCCTCCTAAACAGATTAAGGAGAAGTTCAAAATTTATTTCCTCATCTCCAGTCCATCAATCACATCCAAAAAATGTGAGGCGGAGACTCTTCCTCTCAGCACGTAGCTGCAGAGGCTGCTCAACACTGGGTAACGGGCCGTGTGGTCCTAGTGCCTGACATGTTTAAACTGCCGCTACTAAAACGAAGTTGTTTGTCTTTTGGCTTCTCCCTTCTTCAGGGGTCGCCACAGAGAGAGAACTGAAGGGGTTGTCTTTGGTTTACACCAGAGGTCCTTCCTGAGATGCCCAGGCTCAAACTCAAGCTGGACTTGAACCTGCAGCCTCAGGATCACTGAGACCACTGAACCACCGCTGCCCCACACACAAACGGTTTAAATTGATGGGAGACACTTTGAGTCCTAATTTCAGCAACCTCAACAGGAAGTCTCATAATGATCTCATGATCAGATATTAGTTTAAGATGGTTATACAGTAGTCCCTCGTTGCTTCGCGGCTCGTTTATCGCGGACTCGCTCCATCACGGTTTTTCAAAATAAAACTGGGCATGACACACAATTGGTTGGTTGATGGATGATCAGCATGGAATTTTTATTTAAAATTAACTATTTCAAATTATTTAGCACCTCCTGCACCTCTGTGCTGCCCTTACTGCAGGATAAACTTCCTCCTGCAGCTGATCTGCATGCAGACGGAGAAGTGGGCGTGGCCAAGAGCGCTTGCAGGTGGCTGAGCACAGAGGAGGCACTGAGAGGGAAACCGTGACATTCTGAGCTCTTTTAGCGCGTTTAGAAACTTTGTTTAGAATAATGCAAGAGTGTGGGAAGGGTTTAATATATATAATGTATATAAACTACTACTTACTACTCACACTACTATTCTTACTTCTCAGTTTTTCACTTATTGCGGGGCTTCTAGGTACGGATCCCCCGTGATAAATGAGGAACTACTGTATTTAGATTTAGGATGATTATATTAAAACAAAGGATGATTAATTTATGATGATTATATTTAGATTTATTTGATTATATTTAGATTTATATGATTATATTTAAATTTGGGATGGTTATGTTTAAATTTAGGATGAATATACAGTATTTTAGATTTAGGATGATCATAATTAAATTTAGGATGATTAAATTAAGATTTAAGAGCTCGTTTGTCGTTTCCTCGTGTTTTTAGGATGAATGTGTTTCTGTGATCTGCAGGTGGAGCAGCTGGATAAACTGGAGCAGTACACCTCAGCATCATCTTCGTCGGTTGAAGGAGACCTCGGGGAGCTGTCACAGAAGTTCTACCAAGCTGCCGTTCAGGTGAGGGTTTGTGTCACTGCAGCTCAGAAAGTCCAGAACCACCTGAGTCCACCCACTGACCCAGCAGAACCTCCAGCAGCGGAGCTCAGTGGTTTTCTCTCCCATAGTTGTGGAAGAATTTGTCCCACTCCTGATTTTAATCCAGGACTAAGTCCTGTTTTTACACCCAAAGCTTCAGTTCTTCAGTCAGGAAACATTTTATTATGAGTCACTGTGTTTATTTTTATCATTTAAAGCTTTAGGAGGAATTCAGTAAGTTGGGTGGTTCCTGCCGACATGACGATTATTAAAACCTCGGACATGTTTCTGGTTAAAGAGGAAGGCCCGTCTCATCTGCAGTGGTTCTGTCAACAACAGGCGGAGGAACTTGAGCAGATTGAACAGATTTCTCTGTCAACATCAGGGGATCAGTGTTTCCTCACATGAACAGTTTGTTTGGACGTTCCACGTGGTTCTGTCCTCAGCTCATCTCAGCCCAAAGTCTGGAAATGTTCTGCTGCGGCAGAAGAACCTCACAACAAGTTCTCTTGTTTATTTCAAAGAAATCTGAAAAGAGCAGAAAATGATCTGCGCCCTGAGCAGCAGCCATCGGCCCGTAGGATGTTTGAAGTTTGTTTTGAATAAAACGTAAAACATTTGGAAGCATTTGGGTTCAGAACGTTACGTCCGAGTTTTTTGATGCAGCCACAGGAGAGACGCATCATTTTATTATCAATTAATTTGTGCTCAGATGTGTTCCAGATGTTCTGTCAGGTTAGATGATCCATCCCAGGTGTTTAAAGGCACGCACAGGACAGGTGGACTTTTGGACACCCAGTTCCCCTCAGAATGAATCGGGTTCTCTGGTTTTGTTGCAGAATCACATTCTTTTAAGTCCTGACGGATCCAGCCCATGCAGGTGTGGTTCTGATTCTCCAGGTGAAGTTCTGGGAAAATGGTTCTGAAACCTGGAACATGAGAGTTTATCAGAGCAGGACGAAGACGTTTGTCTTGAGAATCGAAAGTCTTGACTTATTTATGACGAAAAAATGCTCTGATGGATCTAACCTGGAGGCTGAAGGAAGCTTCAGTGTCCCGGGAACCGCCTTAAAATAATCCAGATTATTAATCTTCCAGGGATTCACTGAAGGCATGATGTGCTGAGAATAAAAGATAAACATGATTAATTTGATCTGAACGTGTGGGAAACGGCCTCATCAACCACATCAATCATGCTGCAGTGCATTCTGGCTTCTTTGGGCTCATTGTCCCGGCAGTGTTTTTATTTGTGATATTATTTTTCTATAAATATTCAAATCTCCAGCTCTCCTGCAGCTGGAAACCCTCTAAAGACTCAGTGGCTTCAGGCACAGAGACATGTGCTGCTGGTTCTGCTGATCTTTATGTTCCTTCGTTTTTCCCGGTCCAAACAAAATCTGTACCGACGGTGTGCACGGTGGTGGAGCGCTGATGGTTGGGGCGGTACCACAAACCTGAGTTCCTTCAGAGAGCTGAGCAGAAACCTGAAGCAACCCTGGAGAGAAGAATGGGCCAAAAGTCTTCTACAACCACGAGACTGCTGAAGTGCTAGAGAGAACCTCTGGAGATCCATTTCTGTCCCAGTGAACCCCAGACCTGATAGAAGGTGGACCGTGTTAGTCCCAGGACTGTAAGGAACCGAGGGACAGGTCGTGACTTCTGTTCAGGTTGTTATTGGAGCAGAAACTGAGAAATGTGAGGAATTCTGTGTCCAACTCCTCGGTGCTCGGATATCTGTCCAGCCTCGTTCCAGCAGCTTCAAGATGACTAAATCTGATGTCAGAGCTGGTTTCTCTAACCGGTTCTCGTGTGGAAACACAATGGATCCACTTTATCCTGACCAAATGGACCAGGATAACAGGAACCAGGCTCCAATCCTGTGATCGTCACAGAAAGTTGCCGGGCCAGACAGGAAACTGGGCCTGATTAAGGAAGTTTCAATAAATCAGATCCAACTTTGTTTGTGTTTGTAGTTATTAGGAATGTTGGACATGTCGGTGCCGGCGGTGGCCAAGTTCAGGCGCCTGTTGGACAGTCTGCCCCGGGAAACGCTCCCAGACGTTGTTGCCTCCATGATCCGCACGTCCAACAAGGAGAAACTACAGGTGACGTATAAAACGCTGAGTCGACTGTCGGTACAAATGCTGAGTCAGCAGTCGGTCTGAACGCTGAGTCAGCAGTCGGTCTGAACGCTGAGTCAGCAGTCGGTCTGAACGCCGAGTCAGCAGTCGGTCTGAACGCCGAGTCAGCAGTCGGTCTGAACGCTGAGTCAGCAGGCGGTCTGAACGCTGAGTCAGCAGTCGGTCTGAACGCCGAGTCAGAAGTCGGTCTGAACGCCGAGTCAGCAGTCGGTCTGAACGCTGAGTCAGCAGTCGGTCTGAACGCTGAGTCAGCAGTCGGTCTGAACGCTGAGTCAGCAGTCGGTCTGAACGCTGAGTCAGAAGTAGGTCTGAACGCTGAGTCAGCAGTCGGTCTGAACGCTGAGTCAGAAGTCGGTCTGAACGCTGAATTGAGCCGCAGTGCCGACCTGTGGTTCGTGTTCCAAGCCTTTTATTAGATGAATATGTTCTGAGGTCTCTCTGTCTGCGCTGAAGGTTCTGGATGCCATCAGTCTGGAGGAGCGTTTTCAGAAAGTCCTGCCCATGTTGACCCGACAGATTGAAGGACTCCAGCTGCTGCAGAAGAGCCGGAAGCTGAGTCCAGATCATGAGAAGAGGGTTCTAACCATTATGCTGTTTTCCCTAGAACCAAACATCCTGTACAGGTCTGCGTTCACAGCACCACTAGTAACCTGTTTCTGTGGTGCATTTCAGGTTCTTACGGGCCGTAGAGGCGGCGTGTTCCCGGGCCGACAGTTTAATCTGGATGAGGAAGACGAGGATGAGGATGGAGACGACACGGCAGCTTTAGAGAGGAAGATCCACGGGTCCAACATGCCTGAAGCTGCACTCAGAGTCTGTCTGAAGGAGCTCAAGAGGTAAATCTTCCTCCAGAATGTTCCAAAGGTTCTGAACGTTCCTCCAACATCTGGAGTCCCTTTAAGTCTTTTCCATATTGGAATAAGTGCAGAAATCTGTTTATTTACAGACTTTTTATTTTTTACGTAAAAGTTTAGTGTTTTTCATCTTATAGCATTTAAGGTTCTGAAACATTTAGCGATCCAGAAAAGTTTACAAAGATTATTTACCAAACGTTGCACAATGTGAAGCTCAAAGCAGATTTCAGCTGGTTCTGTTTTACTGAAACACTTTGACTTACTAAAGGTTTGTTCTCGCAAAAACAGGCGTAATCTTGATTGTGCGTGAACAGATGTGGAAACTGATCTAGGACAGGGTGCATCCAGGATTGCGTCTGTCAAACGGGCAAAATAGCACGCTCAATTCATTCTACACGTTTACGCTCAATTCATTCTACACGTTTACCTCAGTGAATGCAACATGAGTTTCTACAAAATACTGGGAGGAGTAGATGCAAATAGATTATCCACGTTTCACGCTCTAAATTAATCAAACCTGAAACGATTTGCAGCAGCTGATTTTGTCTTTTACTGGCACGTCTGAAAGGCAGGTGTAAACCGGTGCAGCTGTGAGTAACGATGGCTGCGGTTAGTTTGGTGAGGAAGAGGCAAAATGGCGACGGACAGACCTGATGTTTTCTGCTAAACATTTTGGAAATGCCAGAAACAAAAATTACCAACAAAAATTACCAACGGTACTTTGAGCTCGTTAAGGTGTTTTGAGTCAGACCAACAGT